TCTCGAAGACTGTGAATACTCTGAGGTCATCGTCTTTCGTGGGGTGTTGCTCTGCGGGTTTTTTGGTGAGGAGATCCTCGCCGCTCTTGGCCACTTGCCAGAGTATCGAACATGCTCTAAGGCTGTGGGTTGGTATGGTATCCGGTGTTGTGTGTATTTTTCATGGCCTATCGAGCCATCCCTCCAGAACGGTGCTTCGATTTCTTTACTATTGGATCGGGCGACCCACGAGGGTGCATCCTTTTTGCCCGGATGAGGGGTGGAGTGGAAACTGGTGGCTCCCAGGGAGCTGCCTGAGTTTTCCAGGCACTTTCCATTGCACAGTACTTCTATACTATGGTTGCCAAGTCAGTGAAGTGTAATACGCGACGGCCGTTGATGGCATTGAGGATTCCCTCGTCCATGCAGTTATTGCAGAATACAGAGATTGCTTCTTCGTCGCGGCAATCTTTAATCTTGTTTTTAACAAGGAGGGATCTGGCCCAAAAGTGATGGACCGTTTCCTCAGAGTGCTGTCATATGTACGTGAGATCGCGTATATCTGGGTGGGTGGGTGGATTTGAATCCGTACCCTGACCCAATTTGGGATCCGGTGTTTGAGAAACTTCCGAGCTTAACATTTCGGGCTTCGGGATATCAACCGATTTTTCAGGTCCACCGTCCGACTCTAGGTTCGGAGGACAGGGCACGTCTTTCCGTGGACGGGTATCCGGCTCTTCGAGTTCGGAAATCTGAACATAGTTCGTCCTCAATATAGAGGAAGAGTTGTTATATTGCTCCTCTACTACCGCTATCTGATGGGTGATCGGCAGAGATTTGATTTCTCTCTGATCGGGTTTAAGCCCAATCCGATCGTAGTCTGTAGCGACCCCCAAGGCGGCGATGCGATCCAGGAGTTCGTTTAAAGACGACAACTTCGTCGGATCCATCCGTTTGGAGTATTTGGAATCGACACGGAGGCAATTTTCGATGACCCAAGAAGTCATCGTCGGCTTAACGGCCGAACGGGCGGTCATGGTAAAGCCGCCCAGCCGGAGGGTTTGGCCTGAGGCCAGGGCTCCTCCGGCGGTGGTACTGTCCTTTATAACAAGGCGAGCCATCAATCCTGTCTTCGACGTCACAGCGGAACTCTCAATGAAAGAACTAATGTCGGTGGAACTCTCAATGAAAGAACTAATGTCGGTGTCAAAACCGACGGATCTCGGGTAGGGGGTCCCGAACTGTATGTCTAAGGTCGATGGTAACAGGAGGCAGGGGACACGATGTTACCCAGGTTCGGGCCCTCTCTATGGAGGTAATACCCTACTTCCTGCTTGATTGATCTTGATGAATATGAGTATTGCAAGAGTTGATCTACCACGAGATCATAATGGCTAAAACCCTAGAAGTCTAGCCTGTACGATTATGATTGCCTCTACGGACTAAGCCCTCCGGTTTATATAGACACCGGAGGGGACTAGGGTTGTACAAAGTCGGTTACAGAGAAAGGAATCTTCATATCCGGATGCCAAACTTGCCTCCCACGCCAAGGAGAGTCCCATCCGGACACGGAAAGAAGTCTTCTATCTTGTATCTTCATGGCCCATCAATCCGTCCCACGTTACATAGTCCGGCCGTCCGAGGACCCCTTAATCCAGGACTCCCTCAGTGGTCGGTCGAGTCGGCACGTAGTACGAAGCCACCAAACATAAAGATCTATCCGGGGAGAAAAATCTCCCCGGACAAAGCATCATCGTTGATGAAAAGGTGTGCCATCAATCCTTCTGTTGACAACACAGCAGAGCTCTCAATGAAAACACCAATGTCGGTGTCAAAACCGGCAGATCTCGGTAGCGGGGCGCAAGCTGTGTGTCTGAGGATCTATGGCAGGAATGGACAAAGGGACACAATGTTTACCTAGGTTCGGACCCTTTTAAAGGAGGTAAGACCCTATGTCCTGCTTGATTATATTTGATGAGTATAGGGATTACAAGAGTTGATCTACCTCGAGATCGTAATAGCTAGACCCTAACTTGTCTAGCCTATGAATTATGATTTTGCCTCCGGTCTAAACCCTCCAGTTTATATAGACACCGGAGGGGCCTAGGGTTGTACAGAGTCGGTTTACAGAGAAAGGAAATAGCATATCCGAACACCTAATCTTGTCGTTCACGCATGCAGGAGTTCTAACCGGACACGAGAGGCAATCTTCTTCCTTTATCTTTACGGACCATCAGTCCGGCCCATATTGAATAGGCCGGACGCCCGAGGACCCCTTAGTTCAGGACTCCCTCACCCGCCGGATCCCATCATCAATGCCGCTAGTCCCGCTGTCAACAAGGGGCAGCGTCACCATGAAAAGGATGTGCTCGCTCGGACGACATTGATACTCGAGAACCTCTCCGCAATGGACTGGTTCTAACCGGCCCAAGCTGGGAACGAAACAGGCTTGCGGTGCCACCAACTGGGCTGACATCATGCCGTAGCGCTAGAAGAAGTTGCAGCCCTGCTGAACGGTTTACCAACGACAGGTGAAGCGAGAAGCCAATCAACAAGCTGAATTTGAGTAGTTTTTGAGAAGTTATAGGACGTCAGAACATGCCCTTAATAAGCGACGTGGTTGGGTGTGGTTTTTGCATCCCGACAGGCAGCCCATCTGGGCGTTTGGGCCGGCTATGATGGGTCCGGTTGTAGATGCTAAAAATGTCAAAGGACTTAAATTTCTGATTACAACCTTTTTTTGACAAATTAGAACTAGATACATCTTCCTTGAAAAAACCATTTTTATTTTAAACGGTACTTCTAAAGCACATCTAAATGTTTCCTAAGTATTGCACATCTAAATTCTATATCATTAATTTTACGCGGAGATTCATGCGGATATCTTTTTTTTATTTCTTCTTACTTAGATAGATTCAATAAAAAAGATAAAATCGTCCTAGTGTTGATCCGTTTATAGGCGATTAATTAGGAGAGGACCGGTGTGTTACCCCAAAGGGAAACATTTGGGGCCGGGGCACCGGCCGAAGCTTCGGCCGGTCCAGTCCACGCGCGCACGCCGCGACCCAGTCGCGAGCAACCACGTGGCACTGCGGATCTCGCGAATCTCGCCTCATTCCTGTCTCGCAGCTCCGCGGATCTCGCCCCCATCCTCATCTTCTGCAGCGCCGGCGTCCACATCTCGTCGTCGGTCATGGAAGGTCGAATCCCCCGCGCGTCCATGGATGTAGATCTCACCCCGCCATGCTTTTACAGCCCGTTTCGCCATTGGATGCAGCCCGTTGACCAATCCCCATCCCCGGTGGTTGCAACTCCCACACGTCTCGTGCTTCTGCCTCGCCGCCGACGAGCCGGACGGCAATGGTCGACACCGGAGGCTTCTACAGAATCGTCGCACCCCCTCATGTTGCAACCGTTTAAAAAAAAGCTTCATCCCTTAGATGAAAAGCTTCAACCGGATGTAGAGAAAGCTACAAGCGGTCAGCGCCATCGCCGGAAAGCTACAACCGTTGACATGAAATACTACATCCTTCGATTAAAAAAGCTTCAACCGAAACGATACAAAAAGCCTTGACCAAGTGCTGCTAAAAAGAAAATAGCTACAACTTTTGGTAAAAAAGCTTCAACGGTTGTTGGAAAAAGCTCCAACCATTGAGAGAGAAAGCTACAACTAGACACTATGAAAATAAGAAAGCTTCAACCAGCGACGGCTGGAGGTGGAAGAAGATAATAAAATGCTGCAGTTTTGCTACATGCTTCAACCGGCATAGATTTTTGCTACAACTGGCATAGCATTTTGCTACAACTAGCGTCACGTTTTGCTACAACACACAGCCGGCGTCGCGATTTTGCTACAACTAGCATCGTTTTTTGCTACAACCGGCATAATGTTTTGCTACATCCATCACGGCCGAGCTGCGACCCAGCACGGGTTTCCGTGAATTCTGGCGGCGAGATCCAGCACGGGGGCAGGGGCGGATGCTGCAACCGGTCGCCGGCGAGCTGCTACGGGCTCGCGGCGAGCTGCAACCTCGACCGGCCGTAACGGAGCTCGAGCCCAAATCCATGGCAGCGATCTGCGCCGGAGATGCACCGCGGGGGCGTTGCTGGGCGGCGCGGTGCTGCGAGCCACAGGGGATCTCGCCGGAGATGCGCCACGGGGGCCCGAGGAAGAAGTTGGGGTAATTTTATTTTTTTTGCTCCAGATCCAACCGCCCGCGCGGCTCGCATCGAGCGGCTATGGCCGGTGCGCCGGCGCCTAGTGGTGCCCTACCCCAAAACCTCTTGCGAATGCACCTCTTGCACGAGTCCTCCCCTCCATTCTTGTCGCCTTCCTCCGTCCGTCACGGTCTATGCGCACAGCCCGCAGAGCGCAAACCCACCGCAGCGAGAACCGGCCACGCACGCCGCCTCCGGTCGTACCACTCGCACTCGCGCCGCTTCTCGACTGGATGTTGACTCCTCCCATCGCGATGAACGGAGCTGCCATGGCCATGCGACCACACACACACACGCGCGTGACAGGTCCGCTGGGTGCCACAAAACGAACGAAGATTGAACACCGCACTGGTGTGAGCTGTGGTGCATGCGCAATTTCCCATACAAAACAAGCAGGCTAAGCAGCAGCCGAGCTGCGCTTGATACACGCATGCATGCCGTTGCATCCGCATCCGCGCGCCCATCCATCCGCGCTGCCCCACCACACCACCCCGTGCGTGTCGATCCGAACTACAAATGGCATCCTCTTCGTGTAGCTCCACTCCACTCTCCTCCTCTAGGTCTAGCTCCAGTCTCCTCCCGTTGCCCTCTCTCTCTGATGGGCTGATGGAGATCCTCTTCTCCCTCCTCTAGCCCCGTTCTCGGCCTCCCCTGCAACAGTCCAGGTCCAGCGGAGTCCTCGAGAGTCAAGATTCGCGCCACCTCCCACGCCCCTCCTCCTCCTCCTCCTCATCGTCCTCTGCTCCCTCGCCACCACCCCGGACGCCGCCGGCGAGCGCGCGCGCACGGCGTACATCGTCCACATGGACAAGTCCGCTGTGCCGCCGCACTTCGCCGAGGACGCGCACGCGTGGCACTCGGCCATCCTGGAGTCGGTGGCGGACGCGTCGCCGCGCGGCCGAGGACGCCCGGAGCACCTGTACTCCTACGCCAACGCGCTCAACGGCTTCGCCGCCACGCTCTCCGCTGCCGAGCTACGCGCGCTCCGCCATACGCCGGGGTTCGTCTCGGCGTACCCTGACCGCCGCGCGGACGTCGCCCATGACACGACGCACTCCCAGAGGTTCCTCGGCCTCCGCCCCGACGCCGGGCTGTGGCCGGCGGCGAATCTAGGCGAGGGCATCATCATCGGCGTGGTCGACACCGGCGTTTGGCCGGAGAGCAGCAGCTTCCACGACGACGGGATGCCGCCCGTGCCCTCCCGGTGGCGCGGGGCGTGCGTGCCGGGCGTCTCCTTCCCCGCCACCACGTGCAACCGGAAGCTCATCGGAGCTCGCTACTTCAACCGGGGCTACGTCGCGATGAACCCCAACGACACCATCTCCATGAACTCGACGCCCGACGACGACGGCCACGGCACGCACACGGCGTCCACGGCCGCGGGCAGCCCTGTGCCGTGCGCCTCCTTCTTCGGGTACGGGCGTGGCACGGCGCGTGGAACAGCTCCACGTGCCCATATCGCGGCTTACAAGGTCAGCTGGCCCAACGGCTTCGTGACGGCCGACGTCCTGGCCGCCATGGACGCGGCGATCGCGGACGGCGTCGATGTCGTCTCCATCTCCCTGGGGTTCAACAACGAGCCGCTCTACACGGATCCAGTTGCAATTGCCTCGTTCGCTGCCATGGAGCGCGGCATCGTCGTGTCAGCGTCAGCGGGGAACGATGGCGTCCATGGGTTGGCCACCTTTCACAATGGGATCCCATGGGTCCTCACGGTGGCGGCCGGCACGGTGGACCGGCAAATGTTCGCCGGCACCGTGACCTACGGAGACACGAAGCAAGGCATCACCACAATCGCTGGGGTCACGTGGTATCCAGCAAATGCTTGGGTTTCTGAAGCGAAGCTGGTCTACAACGATACGCTGTCCGCGTGCACCTCATCAGCTCTGCTTCAAAGTCTGGCGACAAAGAACAGCATTATCGTCTGCCGCGACACTGGGCTTGGTGCGATGGGCCATCAGATGAAGATTGCCGCCGCGGCCGGTCTCACGGCCGCTATCTTCGTCCCGCAGACCGAGACGGACGAACCCCTGACGGGTGAGTATCCGCTGCCGGTTATCGCGATTAGCCCAGAGGATGCGCCGGCGCTGCTCAAGTATATCACCTCCAGCTCGCAGCCGACGGCTACGATCAACTTCCAGCAGACCGTCCTCAGCAGAGCACCGGCGCCGGTGGTCGCCTTTTACTCCTCCCGAGGGCCGTCGCCGAGTTTTGCGGGCGTCCTCAAGCCGGACATATTGGCGCCGGGTGACAGTATACTAGCGTCGTGGCCACCCGTCGCTCCGTTGGCGTACGTAGGGAGGACGGCTTTGGTCGGCGACTTCCAAGTCGCGTCCGGGACTTCAATGGCGTGCCCGCACGCCAGCGGCGTGGCGGCGCTGCTCCGGGCGGCGCACCCGGATTGGAGCCCGGCCATGATCAAGTCTGCAATGGTGACCACGGCGAGCGCGGTCAACAATCTGCTTCGTCCCATCACCGACGCCGGCAACGGCAACGGCATGGCAAGCCCGCTGGCCATGGGCTCGGGGCATGTCAACCCCAACTCTGCTCTGGACCCGGGTCTCGTCTTTGACGCCGGGCCGTGGGACTTCGTCGCGCTCCTCTGCGCCGCGAACTACACCGTCACCCAGATCGCGGCGGTCACGCGGTCGTCCACGGCGTACAGTTGCTCCTCTTCGTCCAGCAACGACGTGAACTACCCGTCGTTCATCGCCACATTCGGCGCCAACGCGACCTCCGGGAGGATGCGCTTCAGCAGGACGGCGACCAACGTCGGGGCGGGCGCGGCCACGTACCAGGCGTCGTGGTCGGCGCCGAGCAACGTGGCCGTGGCCGTGACGCCGTTGACGCTGGAGTTCGGCGGTGCGGGCGAGAAGGCGACGTTCGAGGTGGAAATTGTGCTGACCGCGCCCACCGGAGGAGAGCCGGCGCACGGTGCCGTGCTCTGGACGGAGCTGATCGGCAGTCACCAGGTCAGGCTTCCGTACGTGGTGGTGTGACGGCGCCGTTCGGTGCTGTGAACTTGATCTTATGTGCGCTCCGATGATGTAGTTTGACTTGGGCTTAAGGAGTCAGAAATCCTATTAGTGCCTTGTATTTCTCAGTCACAGTGGACTGAGGTTTAACTTATTAGTCAGACTTATCGCTATCTCATCCTACTAGTTGCTTGTGCTTATCAATTTGAAAAAAAGCAGGTGCTTGTGCTTATTAGTTCCTTCGATTACCTTTTGTGCTCTTCATTTTTCTTTTCTTCCTTTTCCATTGAACGGGTTGAGTCTGCGCGACATGTGTTGACCATTGTTTATGGTCACTTGGTGAGCCCCTAGCCTAGAGGAGCTGGGTGTAAGCCAAACTGAATCCTACACCGGTGTTTGGCCGTGTTCAGAGGCAGGGCTGACGGAAGTTTAAGTTTTCGAGCATTGTAGCAAGAACGATCGAACTTGATAATTAGTATCTGAACACATATATGGTTGTAGAAGAGCTCGTGCCAACTCGATTGGTGTGGGTGAAGTGTTGACATGACATGTGAATTTATACTTACACAGTTACACTTCATAAAAAAAGTGCAAAATACAAAAAGGAAAAAAAAACGATGGTAGCCCTCACGTTAGATGACGGCAACCGGGCAACGCATAGTACATCGTACTCACAGCAACAAAGAAGAGACGAACCAGGTTAGGAGGCCCACGAAAATTGCGGCAGTGGATATGCATATCCTGATTTGAGGCATTAGTAATGGCATTTATGATGTTGATTATGTGCCTGGAAAGATAAGGCGCATGTACTACCCAAAATCAAGAAATTGATTTATATCCATAATACTATCTGAGGTATTGAGGCGCAATCCATCCTATAAATAGACTCCTAGCTAGACCCATTTCTCTTCGCCCCAGCAGCAAAATTTTCCTTCACCTGCTTGAATCGATTGAGACTGTCTGCCATGGGTGCCAAGGTTGCAGCGACTGCCCTGTTCTTCCTCCTCCTCACCTTTGCTTATGGTGAGCCCCTTTTCCGCTGAAATTCTTATTAAGCATGGTAGCATCTTCTTAACTTCTTAAGCTGATAACTCGGTGACTGAGCAGGGAAGAAGGATACGCCATGCGAAGGGCCGAGCCAGACCTATCATGCAGTCTGCGCCGACCCAGCCTGCGACGCGGCCTGCATCACCGAGGACTACAAAGGTGGATACTGCAGCCCCGGAAGGCTCAACACATGCCTCTGTACTAACAAGTGTCACGACCAAACTCTTGCGCCCAACAGGGTCTGACGATGTACGGGAGCCAGCATGCTTTAATTTAACAGAAAATTGGTAATGTATTGCAAACAATAACAATGGAATGAATTCGCAGTTTTTCCTTTTTTGAATGTTTGGTCATATATCTCCGGCCACTATAAAATTGCTAGAAACTCCGGCACAACAACCCGGCAAAAAAAACTCAGGCAGGAAAACAATACAACGATCACTATATTCGATAATTCTGCACTTATGGACAGTAGTTACAAAGTTGTCTTACAGACTCCTGTCCCTCAATATTCTTCCCCCGGATTTTAGGGTGGGCTCTTTCTTCTCGAATCAGATGATGCCCTCTCATCCCGTATCAACCCAAGTCGCTTCTTCATCTCCAGGAATCTGGTAAGGTACTTTTGAAACACCAATGGGCATATTAGACTAATATTATTAATTTAAGTAAGAAAACCACACTTTAATATGGAAACGTAAGAATGGAACAGAAAGAAAGAATCCGCAGTTTATTGTCTTAATTTTTATTCTTATTCTATATGAATACTATAGATTCTATTAATGCGTAGATTGAAAGGTTATACATATAGGGTCCCGATAACTGCCACACGTGTGATGTATCGGGTAGTTGTGCCACACGCCTCGTGTGGCATGGACAGCAACCAGCCCACACACCTACGTGTGGGCAAAACAACTAATGCCCACACATCTCTTTTTTTCCCTATCGAACCCTCTCACACGCGTGCGTGTGGACGAAGTTGATAATGCTCACACGCCCGTATGTCAGGCCTCGTACCCTCCTGGTCCCGCACGCCACGCGTGATGCCCATCGCACGCCCGCAGTTGTCATGGTCCAGACCCTCGTCCATGTTCGTTTAACTGCAGTTGCCATGTCGCTGAACTACGATTGCCATGTCGGACAACTGCAGTTGCCATGGTTGCTCAACTATAGTTGCCATGTATGGTCTGATCTAATGTAGTTGCCATGATTTCATAACTTTAGGAGTTGCCACATACTAACACTAGGCAGTTGAGAGAGTTGCCATGTGCTCACAAGCATGCTAGGGCAGTTGTCATGTAAAAAGGAAGAGTTGTCATCTACTTACGTGCACGTTAGGGCAGTTGCCATGTACGTGCACGTTGGGGCAGTTGCCATGTACCATGCAAAAACACATGGCAACTCGGTAAACGAGAGTTGCCATCTGCTTACGTGCACACTAGGCAGTTGCCGTGTACCCTGCAAAAACACATGGCAACTCGGGTAAAAAAAGAGAGTTGTCACCTGCTTATAAAGCACACTAGGGGCAGTTGCCATGTGCACTGCAAAAACACATGGAAACTAGTAGTTTGGGTGTGGGAGAGGAGACGGGCGTGTGGGCGAGATGGCAAATGCCCACACACTAGCCCTTGTGTGTGCGTGCAAAGTGGCGTGTGGCGCGAACTGCTGAACGCCCACACACCGGCCCCTCCGTGTGGTAAAACAGATGTGTGGGCGACCTCTCTCACACACCACACACGCGAGTTGTCCTACTTGGCATACAAAATCAGCTAATTCGTGTCAAGATTCATGCAGAAGTTACTGGACGGTGATGGAGACGTGTGGGTGAGTTGGCTAATGCCCACACGTGTAGGCGTTAACATTTCCGTACATATAAGGAATGTAAGACAGATTGATATTTTGAAACTTCACCCCCCGCCCCCCTTCCCCGCCCGTCAAATGCCGCCCGACCCCATGGCCGACTCCCCCAGCCGCTCTGACACACCTCGTCGTGGTCACCCCCGGTGCCACCTTTCCAGATGCGGCCATCGCTGTCATGCCGACCCCATCCCGCCGCACCGGATTCGCTCCAGCCCGTCCCGTGGCTGCTGTTGGAGCAGGTGGGCTGCCGACAAAGAAGGCGCCCCCGGCCAAATCCATGGCAGCACCAACCGGCCGCCGTGCACCCCCGCCGTCTCCAACGTGCTTGACGAAATGTCGCAAAGGTTAAAATAAATCCTTTTCTTTATTGATTGTTCTTTTCTCATGTCCCATACGAGTAGAATGTGAGATTGTGTGTACGTGCATTTCTAGTCTTGATGATGAGACATTCATGCGCATGACAAATGTCACAAGTGAAGATTTCTCTCTCTTTCTCTCTCTCTCTCAAGTATATGCACTGCTAGAATATGATACTTAACTTGATGATCAGCCGACACGGAAGAAAAATACAACCAGGTAAAGACCCAAATCGACGCTAGACGTGATATTGGACCAGCGCAATTCATCCTGTCTCCTCAGGTAAACGGCCGACACACATGCTTCGAGCATGCTGGATTGTCAGGAAGGTAGTAAGGGGAGGAGTGGAACTCCTCGAAAACTTTGGTGTATTAACAAGCCGTGGAATTACACCTATCCATTTCGAGCAATCGTCCGAAGACAAGGAGGTCCTAATGATATACGACACTCACTCCTTCAGAAATCAACGGAAAAGAGCTCTTCGAGAGATCTTCCACGTCAACCATGTAGTGACCTCAAATAACAGATGGTCGGACATGCCGATCACTTTTGATCAGGAGGACCAAACGACGGGAGCTCACGACCAAGGAGTTGCCCTCGTCCTCGACCCTATCATTGATGGCTATCGACTGACCAAAGTCCTCATGGATGGCAGCAACAGCCTAAACCACATCTATGAGGGCACTTTGCAAAAGATGTGGTTCGACAGATAACGCATAGAACCAAGCTGGACTACCTTTAAAGGGATAGTCACAGTCCGATGAGCTTAAGATGGTAGAGGTAGGGCCCTCAAGTTTATGTTCATGGACACAAGTGGCCTTGACCCCAAGCAAAAAGCGTATGTTGAGCTTTGTCGCTATGAAATGATCATTTAAAACACCATGCTCGTGAGAAACATGGTGGGAGGAGGAATGTGAGGTGCCAGGGGTGGAATGAGAGGAGGAATGGGTAGAATAGGAGGTGCCATCGGTGGAATTGGAGGAATGGGAGGTGGCATGGGTGGTGGAATTGGTGGAAGGGGTGGCTACATGAACATGATGGGAAGTGCCACGGGTGGTGTCTTTGGTGGCAACATGGGTGGTGCCTTCGGTGGCAACATGTATGGTGGCTTCGGTGAAAACTTGAGTGGAGTGGCATGGGAGGTTCTTCCGGTGGAGGTGGCGGCATTGTTGCATCAACGCATGAGAACGCCGAGAAAGAACCCATAAATGATGATGCCAATGTCCATAACGTGACAAGTGACAACGAAGACGATGAAAATTGAGATGCTATGTTTTATCTTATGTTTATGTGCACTTTTATTTGTTGGATCATGAACTTTATTTGATATGATGCATTTTTGTTTGTTGGATTATGAAGTTTGTTTGCTATGGAAGTTGAGTTCATGTTGAAATTGAAATATTGTTGATTTTATATGTCCATGTGATGATTTTGATTCAAATGAGTGTGGCTGCAGTGTTGCTGGAGTGCGGCTATAACACTGCTGCCGCACGGCCGTTGGCCATCTTTACATCACCAGTTAGAGCGGCGGCTGCGCGGCTCATGTATTTTACATCATGTTTTGGAGTTGGATGTATTTTGATGATGTAAATTTTACATCTAGCATTTTATGGTGATGTATTTTACATCACCTATTGGAGATACACTTACATGTCCAATGAGACCAGCCGACGACTCGATCGCTAGCCTGTAGGAGGCCTCGGCCGTCGACGAAACTACAATGGCACTCCTCAGCCAGTAGCTTTGACGGAAACCACCGCTGA